GAAATGTTCATTAAATGCATCAGGTATTTCTAATCATCCAACGTTAAGCGATTGTTTATCACGAAAGTGTTAGTGTGAGATGTTTTAGGTGCTATGTATCTCCAAAACTTAGCAGGTGATTCTTTTAATAGCCTACTTAAATGAACATTGTAAAAAGTGTGCCGCTCATGACGAATCCACTTTTAAGCCCTGAAGACAATAACTTGATTTCAGCACGCAAGCTTTCAGTGCTCTATTTTTACTTTTGCTCTTCAAGGCGGTCAATTTTTTTTTTCAGGTGAATAATATTTCTAGTGATCCATGGATTAGACACATTGGTTTTCCTAAGCTTAAACGGAACGAAGAGCTATATACAAGCATGCACAGTGTTCTTGAACTTTAACCACATTGTATTTACATTATCAGAATCGTTTCTTGTGCTTTCAAGAAGTTCATTGAAAGGTAGTTCTAATCTATCTATAATACTAGTATTATCGGCCAAACAAAAAACAGGTACACGAGTTGCATTAGTGGACCTTTTTTTTATGAAGGAACTAAATTGAACTAAGACAGCTTTGTGGTCCGAAATCCCATCTACTGTATCACATTGAATTTCACCAGGAATGTTGCTACGCACAAAGACAAGATCTAAAATTGATATGCTACTATCTTGAATGCACGTGTGCGCTTTGACTAATTGGTTTATGTCAAAGCAAAAAGCAATGTTTATTAGCTCTTTGTTATTGGCAACATCTCTTTTACCAGCTGAAAATGTAGACCAATGAACAGATGGAAGATTGAAATCTCCACATGAGAGAATCTTGGTATTGCTGCTTGTATTGTTTTGCAGGTAGTTTTTCAACTGTTGTAGTATTTCTAGATTAGAACTTGGTGGTTTGTAAACGATACCAATCATCACACAATATTGATCATAGCATATCTTGCAGAATAAAGCATCTACATTAAATGGGTTATTCACGCACACAACGTTTAGTTCTTTCTTGAACAATAGCGCAACGCTGCCGCCCCTTTTGTTGCGATCTCGACGGTGAACTTCGAATTCAGGAGGGACAAATTCGCTTTCATATATGCCATCGTGAAGCCAGGTTTTGGTAAGTGCTATCACTTCTAGATCGTGAACGGAAATCTGGTATTCTAAATCTGCAGCTTTATTTACAATACTTCTGCTGTTAACATTCAATAGTTTCATTGGATAAGAACTCTTTCCATGTCACCAAAGAGCGCGCTTTGTAACAGCTGTTATTTCACCATTTTCGTCATTCCACGTGTAAAGCTTTCCATTCACTGATACCTTATCAAAAACTAGCCTCACCTGTTCCTTGCGGGCTCGTTGAATGGCAGTACTGTCCCACAATTTTTTTCTAATGGCAGGCACTTTTTGAGAGAAATATTTCATTGGTTGGAACCCTTTAACCGAAGACAGTTTTTCAAGATCGAAACCTTTTTGCAGTAATCAATAAGCGTTGAAATAATCGGTCTTGTTTTGCTAGTAGACTTGGCTCCAAGCCAGTGACATCTTTCTATAACTTTAATTGTTACATTCAGTTTACCCTGAAAAAATCTTTGCTTACTGTGTTAAGAAGCAATTCTATAGTTTCATTCTGTGGCTCTTCGAGCCCATGAATGATGATGTTGTTGCGCCTGCTAAGGTTTTCAAGTTCGTCTACTTTATCTACGATTTTAACTACATACTTTTCTAATCTATGCACAGAAGTCTCTACTGCCAGAACCTTCTCATGAGTAGCTGATAAGCGCGTGAGTGACGACTCAAGCGAATCTAGCCGCGCTTCGCAATGGTCTAGCGTGATAGTCAGGGAAGCCTGTGTTGCACTGAACTCATCCATACGGCGCATAATTTCTTTCTGGCTTTCAAGAACGCTGAGCAGGAGTTCGTGGTTAGTTCCCGAGCTTTTGTCAGATATTTGTTTATTTTATTTATTTTTTCATACTGCCAGTCCCAATGGGGATTATTGCAGGAGGGCAAACAAAATACATAAAAAAAATACATATACAACCAAATACAGACTAGATACACTTGCACTTACATGCGAAAATGCGCGACTACAGATATTCTATGATGATAGATACATGAAGAGTTTAAAAGCACAACAACCTTTGTCTGGCAGATATGCACGAAAATATTATACTACGTAATTCACTGATAATACTGATATATTGAAAAAGCAACCAAAAACTGTACAAACGAGAAAAGAAGCATAGAAAAAAATATAATTTCAGCTATGAGTGTCACGAATGTGGTTTTCAACTAAAGGTAAAAAAGTATTCAAATCTTTACTATTAGTCATCTATTATTTCAATGGTGGCATTATCTGTGGGAAGTGGTCACTAATAAAAATTAGGTCAAGCACATTTGAAGAACACCCCTGTACACATGTGGGCTCTTTAACAATTTGAGAGAGATTAAATATCAGCATAGTATCAATAATAATGCCGGACGAAGGTGACTGATGGTTCATGGTGAGCCAGTCGATATCGGGAAGGTTGAAATCGCCAACCAGTATGGGTCTACTTGCCAGAGCGTGAAGGTGCAGGTATTGATACAGGGAATGCATTGCTTCTAAAGGTGATGAGGGACTGCGATAAACGCAACCTATTATCGTTGGACAGGTGGTTAGGTGGATTTTACAGAATACCGCTTCCACTCCTTCGACATCGGGGAGGCACATCTTAACTATGTTGCATCTTCAGCCTTAAGAAGATATATAGTATTACTTTTTCTAAAAAGACGAATACGTTCTGCACCACCTCAAACAAAACATTTAGCCTATAAAATCTTTATCTGCCTATTACTAGAGTACGCGTGAATATGTGTGCGTGTATATTTTTTAATTGACTAGATGTTACCAAACGCCTTCTCTTGTTCTTTCGAGTCTACCAAGATGTTGCATTGGCATTATCTAAATTACATATGTTGTTATGAGAGCCATTATCAGCCTTTCTCATTTTATGGCTGGTAGTTTTTTATTTTTTCATTCCAACCAACTCTTTGCTGTTCTTAGTAGTGCTTTTGATCTCTTGATGTCCATTCTATCACTCAAACTCGCCATCGTCCTCGTTATCTGTCCTCCTTATAATGTAATCTACTGAGGCCCATTTGTTTTCTTAAATATAAAATGTTGGCTACCCATGTTTTCTGATGCAATCTGCCGTATTCTTATCGCATTGCATTACAACTATTCTCTGTTTTTCTTTCGCATGGCTTGTCACATGGTTTGTCACTTTTTCAGTTTCATTGTTATCTTCCAAGCTTTGGAACATATGTGTCAAGTCTGGCAAAATGCAATGATTGTACACTTTCCACTATAGTGACAGTGGTAGGTTGTCAGCCATGCATTGAAACTGTCTACCATATGTGTACCAGTCCATCCTTACTCTTCAGTGAAATTCTTTTGGATGAGTAAAACTCTCCTGCTAGTATTTGACCTAGATATACATAGTAATCTTCAAGATATTCTAGGGTCTGGTTGTGTATCATGAAATTATGCTCTTTTGCGAGACAACCTAGCATACATTATTTTAGTCAGCTACATATTTATCTTCAGCTCTAATAACGGTCCCGCCACGGTGGTCTAGTGGTTATGGCGCTCGACTGCTAACTCAAAGATCGCAGAATCAAACCACGGCTGGAGCGGCTGCATTTTTGATGGAGGCGAAAATGTTTGAGGTCCGTGCACTTAGATTTAGGTGTACATTAAAGAACCCCAAGTCGCCAAAATTTCCGAAGCCCTCCACTAGGGAGTCTCCCATAATCGTATGGTGGTTTTGAGACGTTAAACCTCAGATATTATTATTGTTCTTCTAATTTAAGCTTTCTTAGTTTAGGTCTTCAATGATGATTAGCAACTCATTGCCACTTAAATTGGTTGCTTGGGCATGTTGGTACGGCATATTGGAGGGGAACAGCACGAAAGACAAAAAACCAGGCAAAGAAGGGCCCACACAATAGTGCTGACTTACAGCAAAAGTTAATTCATCAAACCACGCATTTATATACTTGCACTGTTAAAACAAAAAGAACAAACAAAAAAGACAGTCAAAGATAAATCAATGAAATATCAGCATCATCGTTAAAAAAAAACATCCTCATTACGTGTGCAGTCAACCTGATAAAAACAAGACTTCCTTTTCTGACAGGACAACTGAAGGCCTGCTCATGGACATGTCACCCAGCCTAGCTATTCCCAGGGCCACCAGTATTTCATGTGTGACCTGGTCCAGGTGATGCTTCACAACCACACATAAATGAAACTCGGGGATGTACCCACAATCTCGGCAATGCCTGGATCAAAGAAATGCTTTAGGTGTGCTCCTTGAGACGCTATTTCAGACACCGTTCACTTTGGCCTATGTATCGTTTGCCACTGGTCAGTGGTAGAGAATACACCATGCCTTGACTGCATGGAACAAATTTATTCCGATACTCAATCGCAGAGGTGCTGGTTTACATAGATGCAGGGTTGATGGCCCTACACAGGCTAGCCAGCTTTTCGGGGGCAGAAAAAAGAACAGCGACCGCACACCTGCCGGTTGTCCTCATTAGATTGTGGGCCACGTCGTGGATGTACGGAATGATGACTCGGTTCAGCACTTCATCCATGAAGCTTGCGCTCGCCATTCTCGAATCGCTCCCGCGTGAACAAGCTGGTGATGGGAGCGAGCGCCGCAGTGCCCACTAGTGAGCACTATGAGCACTAGGGGTTGCTACGACGGAAAATGGTGGACAAGCCCATATCTTAAGGAGCTTTACTTCTAAAATGTTTAGGGTTTGCAGCCTGACTTGCATTGACGATGGGATAACTTTGGCATGAGATATGGGAATGAAGTTACGGTAGAGTAGTTTTACTTACGGGCACCTAATTTAAGTGCCCACAAGTAACTGGGATTATCCGAAGTTCACTCAGCTGAGCAGTGCACATTACTGAACCTGTATTCTTGCATACTACTATGATGATTTCTAACAGTGTGTCATTACCTTGCAGAAATAGACTTTTGTATGCAGTTTCTGTAGTGGAAAAAAGAGTGCAAGAAAAGGAGAAAAAGCTTGACAAGTATGAAGAACTCTTTTCGGATCCAGAGTATGACGCATTGGTTGAAGACTTGATGCGTTTGCTTCAGGAGGATGAGTCGAACGTCTCATTGTTCAAAATGTCCCGGAAATAAAAAGGTAATTTTTATTGCATGAATATGTGAGCTTGAACCTGTACTTGTAAGGTGTAAAACATTTTTTAGCTTCTATAATAAATACTGCTGGAATAACAGCAGCGAATAAGTCGTCATTTGAGCCTACACTGTAGCAGGATGCAGTACCCTTTATATAACAAATGGAAAAATTGATTCTTGAAAGCATGACATGAAGTTGCAGTGGTACTGTTTCTTTTTCTTGCATAATCATGCAGTTTATGTGTCATTCAACTTGCTTGTACTCTTTATATAGTAGCATGTCCTTTCGAGTATCATTACGGAGTGTGCAATAGAAGTTGGAGGCAGGGTAGTTAGACAAGACACTGGCAAGCTTTCCCAGGAAACGAAGAACTTAATTAAGAAGTGTCAAATCATGAAAGTGTCAAGTACAACAGACAAAATAGAACTGGCACTGCTTTCGAAGTTGATTTATAGACGTAAGGTATGCGATGTAAGAAGGTATAACATGGAGAGAATTGAACACGCTCTGAAAAACGGAGGAAGCGTCAAAGCAGCCAAAAGGAAACTTGAGATAGGCAAAAGTCAGATGTATGCACTAAGGGAGAAAGAAGGCAAAATAACTACCAATATGGATAAGATAGTTAAAATAGCGGAGGAGTTTTACAGAGATCTGTACAGTAGCAGAGACAACCACGACCTTAATACTATAAGAACTAGCAGTAACCCAGATGACACCCCACCAGTAATAATAGAAGAAGTCATAAAAGCTTTGGAGAGTATGCAAAGAGGCAAAGCTGCTGGTGTGGATCAGGTAACATCAGATCTGCTGAAAGATGGAGGACAGATTGTGTTAGAAAAACTAGCCACCCTGTTTACGAGGTGTCTCCTGACGGGAAGAGTGCCAGAGTCTTGGAAGAATGCTAACATCATCTTAATACATAAGAAAAGAGATGACAAGGACTTGAAGAAGTACAGGCCGATCAGCTTGCTCTCTGTAGTATACAAGCTATTTACAAAGGTAATTGCTAACAGAGTAAAGAAAACATTAGAATTCAATCAACCAAAGGAACAACCAGGATTTTGAACAGGCTACTCAACAATTGACCACATTCATACTATCAAACAGGTAATAGAGAAATGCTCAGAGTATAACCAACAACTATGCATAGCCTTCATGGATTACGAGAAGGCGTTTGATTCAGTAGAAATATCAGCCGTCATGCAGACACTGCGGAATCGGGGCGTAGATGAAGTATATATAAACATTCTGAAAGAATTCTACAGGGGATCAACTGCTACCTTAGTGCTTCATAAAGACAGCAACAGAATACCAATCAAGAAGGGTGTAAGGCAGGGGGACACAATCTCCCCAATGCTATTTACCGCGTGCCTTCAGGAGGTTTTCAGAAGCCTTGAATGGGAACAGTTAGGGATAAGAGTTGATGGAGAATACCTTAGTAACCTGCGCTTCGCCGATGACATTGCATTGCTGAGAAACTCAGGGGACGAATTGCAACTCATGATTAAGGAGTTAGACAAGGAGAGCAGAAAGGTGGGTCTTAAAATTAATCTGCAGAAAACGAAAGTAATGTACAACGACCTCGGAAAAGAGCAGCGCTTCGAGATAGGTAATAGTGCACTAGAAATTGTAAAAGACTATGTCTACTTAGGGCAGGTAATAACCGCAGAGCCGAACCACGAGATTGAAGTAACTAGAAGAATAAGAATGGGGTGGAGCACATTCGGCAGGCACTCTCAAATTATGACAGGTAGATTGCGACTATCCCTCAAGAGGAAGGTATATAACAGCTGTATCTTGCCGGTACTTAGCTACGGAGCAGAAACCTGGAGACTTACAAAGAGGGTTCAGCTTAAATTGAGGACGACGCAGCGAGCAATCGAAAAAAAATTAGTAGGTGTAACCTCAAGAGACAAGAAGAGAGCAGAGTGGATTAGGGGACAAACGGGGGTTAAGGATATCATAGTTGAAATAAAGAAGAGGAAATGGACAAGGGCCGGGCATGTAGCACATAGACAGGATAACTGCTGGTCATTAAGGGTAACTAACTGGACTCCCAGAGAAGGGAAGCGGGTTAGGGGGAGACAGAGGGTTAGGTGGGCAGATGACATTAAGAAGTTTGCGTGTATAAATTGGCAGCAGCAAGCACAGGACCGGGTTTACTGGCGAAACATGGGAGAGGCCTTTGTCCTGCAGTGGACGTAGTCTGGCTGATGATGATGATGATGATGCCCTTTCTGCTTGCTTTGCACTTTTGTTAATCATTTTGTGCTGATGTCATGATTAATAGGCTTCAACTTGCTTTTATTGTGTCCTCAATGTACATAAGTCAAACCTCGTTAGTACGTACCCACTTTAAACGTACTAACAATTAAAACATAGTTGCAACGAATCCCCGACCGAGTCTTGCAGAGAATAATGGATTCACAAACCGCTTAAGCCATAGTGCTTTGTCGTATGTCTACTGCAGGGTTAATGCGTACTAACTGCATACAGAGATGACATTTTGCGCTGGAAAGCTGAACTTACTTATGCCATAATGTGCCGCAAACGATTTTTTACATCATGTTGATAAGTTCGGGGATTGGCTGATCAATTATTCCGATTTCAGTGCCACTGAAGTTATGTGTTTGACGGTAAAAACGAAGGTAAGATGTCTACCACCGACAAATGTGCATTAGGTCTTATCTCCAATGAAAAAGCCTTGTCACAGTCATTTACAGTAAGCGCATCCTCGGCTGTCTGCTCGGGCACCCTTGTGGCATAGCGCCACTTCAAGCCTAATGCCCACTTTTAAAAGGCGACTACCTAAATGCGCTGAGCCGCTGATCACTGCCACTTCATTGCGCGAACCGTGTTCAAGCTCGCATCGCTTTCCGTAAATGCAATTGCCGAAAACACAAGCAGCTCGGTGTCGCAAAGTTTCGCGATATAGGGAGTTTTAGAATAGTGGTAGTAGGCGTTTTGGGTGTAACGGGCGCCATATCAGATTTAGAATAGCATTTTCCCCTAGTATGGACACCAACGTTGAGCCATAGCTATACCATTAGCTCGGAGAAGTTGGAGAGGTGCCACATGGTGGGAGGCCTGGGTGACGTCACTGCTTGGACTCTTCGATGCTCACCGCGGTGCGGCCACACAACATGCGCTCGCTTCGTGTGCTGTTTGCATTCCCTTTTTGCTTGTCACAAGCTGCAGATTAATGACAAAAACAGAATCAATAATGTAGCAGATGAAACAACAAAACGTTTACTGTTGCTTCTGTGCAATTGCCAACAGTGCTCGTGCTCGCAGAATAGGAAAGGGTGAACAGGTCTGTGTCGTGCCGTACACACCTATAGTGGGTTTCATTCCTGTCCACAGCAGCCGCATTCCAACGGATGTGAAAAGTAAGAACAGGCTTCTGCTTAGAGACAGCAAACTTATTTCCGCATAATCATGACGTGATCATGAGGTCCAAGACGCCATATATACATTACTCAATTCAGTTGTTATTCACTGGCGATTCCTCTAACAGATAGAAGGTTTTTCCCTCCGCCAGGGTTACTTGTATCGCACTGATCCATGTATATACGGAAAGCGCTTTTAGTGGTGTGCCGAGTCCCGCACTCGCGTACAGTCTCACAAGATATCTCGAATGTGCTATCCGAGCGGTTATGGCTGTTTTCCTTGTGCACTTGCTCACTCACCATGTTTTTTAGTTCCATGCTTCTCTTGCAATAATTTTTGGGTGCTTCACGTTACTGAAATTATTCAGGTAAAGTGCGGTTGAGGTTATGTACAGGAATTCTTTAATACTTCTGTCAGATTCTGTTTTCATGCAGCATAGTAGCACTGGTGCGCGCATACCAGCTTAGGTAGACACCCTATGAATTAACTTTTCTTGAACTGGATTACGTGTATGTAGACAAGACGTGCGAGACCAGTCGTCGCCTCATTGAGGAAAAGGATATTTAATTATTATTTGGGTCACATCGCTGAGTGCGCTGTTGGCACTTTGTCGCATTTCCTTTGGTATGGTTGTTGTCAGCGGTGCTCCCACATGACGTGAACATTATCGTTTATGATGCGGTGGTAGATTGGACTAGTATTTCATGCAAATCAGGGTATACGGCTATGTAATCCCTGGCGAATGTTGAGGAAAAATGTGTACATATATGATCCGAGTGAACGGACATCTCAACATTTCTGCAATCGTGGTGTGTGTGGCAGTATTATTTTATTTTGTTTATTTTCTGAATATGTTAAGTAATGGCTTATCACAGACAGATTCCTATAAAGTGTCCTGTTGGAGATAGCAGATTTCTGTCAGATGTTTTAGATGTTTTGCAAATGTAGGTGTAACTACCCATGAAACACAAAAAAAGCTATTTCACGTCTAATAAACGTCGTGGAACGGCTGGTCAAAAGTGCTAATAGACATCTTGGTCAAAACATTTTGTAGCCGTAGACGGCTACCTGATCGTCCGATAGCTGTGCTAATGTCCCGCTAGTTGTCATCTAAAATATGTCTTGCAAGACCAAGTTTAAACGTTTTCTAAGCGTATTTGTTTTTTCCCGTCCCGCCAGTTGTCATCTAACAAAAGTCTTGCAAGACCAAGTTTATATGTAATCTACTCATCTTCGTTTTTTTGCTGTAGAACATCAGAAATGTAAAACAAGCAATTACAATATATTAGAAGGGTATCAACTTTGGCTTGTTGGTTTGCCACACTTGTAAACTGTTGCACGTGTAAGATGTGGACAGGAACACAGACGGGTCTCTCTGTGTTCCTGTCTACGTCTTTTACATGCAACAGTTACGTGTACGGCAAACCAACAAGCCGAAGTCAGTACCCTTCTAACATATCGCTTGTTTTGCATTTTTAATTCTTTGGGTCTGTCTGTTCTTGTCCATTTTTTATGCTCAAAAGTTTACAAGTAAGCCATTATAATATCTTTGGTTAGCCCGGTGACTACCACAGAAAGTAAAAGGGACAGGAAGCGCTTTATTGCCATTTTAC